TTCTTTACCTGAAATTCTTCATGACATTCACTCTCACAAAGATCCTTCAGTGGAATTGTAGAAGCATTTTAGATAAACGTACTGAAATAATTTATCTATTAAAAAAATACAATGTTTGTGTCGCTGCTATTTCAGAGACATGGCTGAAACCGGATTCCAACATCAGAATCCCTGGTTTTTGTTGTGTTAGAAATGACAGATCTGATGGTTATGCCGGATGTGCTTTACTTATAAAGAATAATATCGCTTATACCATTGTAGATATTCATGATGAAATATTTGACTTCAATATAGTATCAGTAAGAATTCAAAATATTACTTTCGTTTCTATTTATGTTCCCTCCCCGTCTGTCCATACGTTTTGCAGAATAAAATCTTTAATAGCCTCGTTACCCAAACCATTTTTAATTCTTGGTGATTTTAATTGCCATCATTATTTATGGGGTGATAATTGTGATAGATTCGGCAGTTTATTAGTTGAAATATTTGACAAATTTAACATTGGCGTCCTTAATACTGGTAAAATCACCAAACGCTCTCGTCCCAATGAGTCTAGAAGTGCTGTAGATTTATCAATTTGCATCCCCGATTTAACCTCTCTTTTAAATTGGACAGTTTTAGATAGCTCTCACGGTAGTGATCATTTTCCTATTCTGATTTCCTTTCCAAACAAAGAATCGGCAAAAATTAACAAAAAACCTTGTATTAAATACAAATTAGACAGAACAGACTGGAACTTGTATAATAGTATTCTTTACAATGAAATTCTAAAAATTGCTCCTATTTCTGAAAATAATTTAATTTCAATTGTTGAAGCATTTACAAACGCAATTATAAATGCAGCAGACCAAACAATTCCTATTAAAACTCTAAATAATAAGTGTAAGCCCTCCCCTCCATGGTGGGATTCTGAATGTACTGAGGCCATTCATAATAGAAAAAAGCCGAAAAACAATATAAATTAGACATGAGTTCAGAAAACTATTCACACCTTCAACGTATACAAGAAGTAACTAAAAATACTCTTCGCGCCAAAAAACAAACAAGTTGGCATGCCTTTTGTTCTTCAATATCTCCCTCAATTCCTTCATCAGTTGTTTGGCGTAATATAAGAAAATTTCGTTATTGTTTTTCATCTTCTTACAGTGGTACCATTCCCTCTCAATCAATAAATTCTTTTCTAGACAAACTTGCCCCCTCTTCTGCTCCTTCGGGAGAGGAGCTACCTCAAAGTATTTCATGTGAACCTTTTTTTGATCCCTTAGAACGTCCATTCTCTCTAAATGAATTAAAGCTTGTCCTTTCTCACGTCCATGATTCGGCACCTGGTCTAGACGCTATTCCGTATTCACTACTAGTCAAATGTAACGATCAAATTTTAACCTTCTATTTAAATATTATTAACGCTTTGTTTTGACATAGGTTTTGTTTCTGACTCTTGGCGGACTTAAGTAATTCTTCCTGTCTTGAAACCTAACAAAAACCCTAACGATGGCTCTTCCTATCGACCGATTGCTCTATCCTCAACTCTAATTAAAACCTTTGAACACATGATCAAGAATCGTCTTGAATGGTATGTAGAAAGTCATGGATTATTATCAAAAACTCAATATGGATTCAGAAAAGGTAAAAGCACATATGACAGTCTTTCAATCTTCACCACAGATATTAGACTAGCATTTTCGAGAAATGAATCGGTCCTTGCTGCTTTTCTTGACATTTCTTCTGCTTACGATAATGTTAGACTTAACATCCTTAGAGAAAAGATGTTCAAGCTTAATATATCCAAAAAACTTACAAATTTGATTATCAATTTATTTCTAGATCGGTATATACATATTAAATTTGATGATGATTTAAAATATACTCGCAAGGTTTTCAAAGGTCTTCCGCAAGGTTCGGTTTTAAGTCCTTTATTATACAATATTTATACGTCAGATTTAGACCAGTCCATTTCAAAGTGTACAATTTTGCAATACGCTGATGATATCTTAGTTTATGCAAATGATAAATGTATAGAATCCTGTGCTAATGCGATAGAACAAGATCTCTCTATGGCCACGTGGTTAGATGATCATGGAATGGATCTTTCCCCAAGTAAAAGTAATACAGTAATTTTTTCCTGCAAAAGAGTTTTACCAGAAGTACAGGTTCGCCTTTTTAATTAACTGCTCGAAAATATTCATCAAGTTAAATTCCTTGGTGTAATTCTTGATAATAAATTATCCGGTATGCCTCAAATCATTTATACCAAAAAAAAATGCGAAAAAAATATAAACATTCTAAGAGCTTTGTGCGGAGTATGGTGGGGCGCCCATCCATATTCTTTAAAATTAATTTATAATGCAATTATAAGAAGTCGATTAGATTATGCCTCATTTCTTCTTGAACCTGCTATTAGCAGAAATGATTGAAAATTTTAGATATCGTTCAACACAAGTCTTTAAGATTAATTTTAGGCGCTATGAATTCATCGCCTATCAACGCTCTGCAAATTGAATGCGGTGATCCTCCGCTTTTTATTAGACGACAATATTTATCAGATGCTTTCTTTTTTCGTTTCTTTAATTTTCCAATCATCCACCAATCCCTAAAATTAGTTTACTTTCTCATTACATATTAATTAATTTAGGAAAATACTGGCGTAATAAAGAAACACCTAATCTAGTAAAAAGCTATGAACAATATAATTCCTTCCTAGATCCTATTCATAGATCGGTGACTCTGCTTCTTTTCTCCAATTCGTTTGATGTTGCACTTTTCAAACCCAATGTTATATTAGATATAGGATTAAATAAATTTTCTATTGAATCAAATAAAAAATTTATGTTTACGTTGGACAAGAATTTTCCAGGTTATCATTAAGTATATTTTTACAGACGCTTCTAAAATTAACTCTAAAGGTTGTACTGGCTACGCTATATACCATCAAAATTGGAGAATAGTTCAAAAAATGAAAAGTCCTCCCGAATCTTCAGTTTTTACAGGAGAAATGTTAGCCATTTTACAAGCAATAAAATATTGCTATAGTTTTAAATTAAAATCAAGCGTGATATTTCCAGATTCTCTTAGTTCTTTACAGGCATTGTTATGCAATCCTTTCTATGACATTTCCCGCAATCCTTTGATATTTGAAATTAAGAAACTTGTATTCTTATACCAATTTCAAAACATTAACATTTCTCTTGTTTGGATTCCTAGTCATATTGGTATATCTGGTAATGAATATGCTGACAAACTTGCTAAACAAGCTATTGTCTGTGGGGACACATTCCTATTTAAAAATTATTGCTATGACCTTATAAGGACTACGAAATTATTGTATAGAGATAGGTGGTCAAAACACTGGGACAAAACCAAAACGACAAAAGGCTGTCAATATGCCAAAATTCAACCCTCCATTCCTTCTAAGCCTTGGTTTTATAAATTATCCTTAAATAAGAAACATAAAATAAAGAATAAATTGCGTGGACAGAGATTTTCATCACCTGAAGAAGCTGTGGACGCCTACAAAACGGCCATTTTGGAGACCCCAACTTCCGAATGGAATGGTTGCTTCAATGATTGGTTCTATCGTATAGAAAAATGTGTCAAATTTTGCGGAGAATACTTCGAAAAGCAATAAATACATTTTTAAATAGTAATGTTGTGTCACTTCCTTGATTCCCGAAATTTTCAGTGCCGCCCTCGTAACTTGTCAAATAAGTAATCAAACAATATGTAAATTTTACATTTTTCAGTTTAGTTAACATTTACGAAAAAATCAATTAAGTTTTGTTTGGTACAATAATTAAAATACCATAAATAATATTATCAGTTCATTTATTTTAAACCACATTGCTTCTTTCAGAAATGCTTTTTAAGAGCTGTTGCTCATGGGCGCAAAGCTAGATAAGAAATAAGATTGTTATTGTATACTTTTGTCACCATATTTTCTTTTCTTTGCTCTTTTCTTTGAACCTCTTTTAAGCTCAATTGACTTTCTTACTTTATTATTAATTTCTGTATGAATTATTTTTTTCATTTCTAGAATTGCTGTTTCATAACCTTGTAATAAATGACTGTATGCTTCCTCTGGAATTTCCATTTGAGGTATTTCTGACTTTTCTCCAGACTGCAGTAGTTCCTGAAACACAACAATTTTAATTTTAAATGTAAGTATAAAATAAAGGAATTTTGAAGTCACAGTAAAAGTCATTACGCATTATTGGTAGTCCACTCAAAAAGTTTTTATTATAAAATGTTGAAAGAACTATCCATCTATATATGAATCAAATCCGTCTAAATCAATTTTCGAAACATTAATTCCAATTGACACCAGATATTCCTTCTACGGCCTGCTCGAACGTTGCTAGCGTACCTTCCGCCGATGAAGACTACAAGACTTTCAGGTGATTTTTTTCTAACAGCGCGAGAGTGTTGTAAAGGTGAAGCAGTAAGCCGACGTTCGGCCGCTAGCATCTCACAGTAGTTACTATTATTTATGCTATGCAGTAATGAACACTTCTGTTAAGTATGCCATTAGGCATTGCATATTTTTCATTATCTTCATACCTTTGTAGCGGTGACAAGAAGGAGCATGCTTTCCCAACTTAGGTATTTCACATTGGGCATAAAATATGAGATTGCTATACTGATATAATACATTGGAAGCTGCAAGACCTTTTTAACCCCGACGAAAACAGAGAGGAATTATATGTTTGTAGTGTGTATGTTTTTTTATATGTGTGTCTTTGTATCTCTGTATCTGTGTATCTGCTCATAACAGCTCCTAAAGGGAAGAACCGATTTTGATTAAGTTTTTTTTCGTTTGAAAGGTGTCTTAACCGAGTGTTCTTAGCTATTTTTCAAAAAAATCTGTTCAGCCGTTTGACGATCACCACCTCTTTTTGTTTCGAGGTTTTTTTTAAATTTTGAATTTAAGTTACTGACAAAGAGATGTAATGGATTCACTTGTGATGCCACCCCATGGTATCATCATTCTATATTAATTTTTTGTTACACCTAGAATGTGTCTTATCTCAATGAAAATATTTAAACATCATTATATTAAATTCACTTACCTTAAACATATTTAACTGATTATGAAGTAATATAGTCACAGCAGTGCCTACTCTTCCTGCTCGACCAGTTCTTCCAACTCTATGAACGTAGGTCTTTATATTTCTAGGAGGGTCATATGATATAACATAACTACACTCTGGTATATCAATTCCTCTAGCTAATGCATCAGTGCTGATTATCCTAAAAATATTATTTTTGTATTGAATATTTAATGTATTAAAATACAAGTATATGCAGATAAAATACATAATATGTAGTCAAATCTAAAATGTAAACAAATTTACTTACACATTAACCTCGGACTGGGTAAATTTTTTAAATACACTCTCCCTACTTGTTCTGTCTAAGGCTGATGATAATTCGACAACTTTAAGTTTCTCTTTACCCCATTCATTGAGTAAAACTGTTAACCTGTGTGCCGATTGTGCTGAATTTGTAAAACATAGAACTTTGTCCCATTTCTTCTCTACTAATAAATGGAATAATATAAGAGGTTTTTCTTCAGCACTGCAAGTCACAAATTGCTCAATTAGTTCATCAGGTGTTGTATACTTTTTAATAAGGTGTTCACCTTCAAAATCTGAAATTGGGGCGGCAGAAAACAGTTTTGGTTGATACAATCCCCATTGTTCTAACAACTCAGGATCAGGGGAAAGAGTAGCAGAAAAAAGTAATTTTTGAGGTAATGATTTTTGATCACTTATACTGTTCCAATTCAAGGGGGGAACTTTACTTGTCACTAAATTATGTTCTAGCCGTATATGCCTGTCCATGTGATAAAGCCAATCATTTTGAATATTGTCCATGATTCTATCAGCTTCATCTATAACTAGAAACTTTAAATGTCTTAATGAAAACCCTTCAGTATTTTGTAAGTGCTCTACCAATCTTCCAGCTGTGCACACTACGATGTCCACTTCACTAATCCATCCTGATGATTCAGCTAAAAAATGAAATAGATTTAATACTTTAATAAGACACATTAATACCTTTATTAATAATTTTTATATACAATAGGCGCTGTGAATGCTGCTAGTGATGGATATAAAAGACATGGCACTTCATTGCATGCTGCTTGAGGGATTATAAAGTTGCTTCTTGTAAGTAAGGAAGTAATTCATAATCTTATTTGAACGAAAGAATCCATAACCATAATAACTTACATAGTAGAACTTAAGTAGTAACCAACTCAACCATTCATTAAGCTAAAGCATAACATATATTTTTTTAATTGACCAGCTTTAGCTAAGTAGTGAGAGTACATACATAAATACATACACACTTACACCTGTCACCCAGAGGGGTAGGCAGAGACTACGGACTTCCATTTAGCACCATCCTGACACACCTCTTTCGCCTCTTTTACATCCATATATCTATGCATATATGCTCGGCGGTTACTCCTAATCTGGCCCATTTTCAATATATCGCCAAGTCCCTTTCCAGACTCTGCCGTTTACATCTGCAATATAGATTTGCTTTGTCACTCTTTCCTCGTTCATTATTCCTACATGAGCAAAACACCGAAGCACTCCTTTCTTAATCGTTGTCACAACATCATCTTGCAAACCACACTTTTGTCTTGTCATACAATTTCTCACCCTGTCATTCAGGCTCAGCCCTAACATTCTCCTTAATAACTGCATTTCTATAGCATTTATTCTACTCTCATGCTTCTGCCACACCCAAATTTCACTATCATACATTAAAATACGGACTAACACAGCATTATGGATTGCCATATTTGTAGAGTACCTGATACATTATTTTGTCTGTTAACATTGCATTCTAGGCCTAAATATTACATAAATGTAGTTACAACATTAAAGAATGTAAAACATATTAAACATTATGTTGATATAACCTACTTACTATATTTCATAAGGTGTTGTTGCTCCTGATGCAATGGTGTAGAACCACTCAACAAGGCCACTCTTAAGCCTGTATTTGTACAATATTTTTTACAAACTTTGGCGACCTGGGTAGCTAGCTCTTGCACTGGTAAAACAATTAAAGCCCGTATGTAATGACCAATTTCACTCATTAATATCTGAAAAATAATAAATAATAATCTTGAGACATAAACATAGAAGTTTAATATTTTGTATATATTTAACAGTTTCTTTTTAATATTACCTGAATTATTGGGAGAATAAATGTCAACGTCTTTCCACTGCCTGTAGGTGCAGAAACACAAATGTCATGTGGCCATAGTGGATAGGGTAATTTGTGTTCATTCAATATAAAAGGTATTACTTGTTCTTGTACAGGAAAGAAGTGAGTTATACCTTCATTGAGTAATGTATTTTTTAAGATGCTGTGTAACCAAAGTTGATTATCCACTTTGCAAGTTAAATTTTGTAAATTTTTTGAAACACTGTATGGATGAGATAACCAACGTGGTAAAACTCTTTGCACCTGTAATTAATTAACTAAAGTTTAAACAAATTAAGCACCAATACATTTTGTAAATCAATAATTTGCCAATATTGGCATTGCTATTATTCCTAAATCTCTCTGCCAATTTGGTGGATATGCTTTATTCTCTTCATTTACTTATTAATTCTTTATTGCATTCCTTAATCTAAAAGAATACAAAGGGCGGACTTAATACCTTGAGGCAATCTCTACCAGTCAACCCATGGAGTGGTGAGAATTTGAAGTAGATGTAGCAATATAGAACAAGAACAAAATAAAAATTATAATTAATTATGTCACATATACATTTCTAATATACACAATAAATAAACTATAAAAATATCTCCTATTTATACATGTATACAAATATATACATACATACATAAGCATACATATATTCACAAGATACATATACAAATAGTACATATAAATAACTATGAATATATACGTCTAAAAATATAAATGACATGGATGATTCTTGTAAGAAGCCTTGTCTTTAATAGATGATTATGCACCAACTTTTTAAAAGCAAACTTATTGGGAACTTTTCTGATGTCATCAGGCAAGGAGTTCCCAAGGCGTGTAGCCTGAACTGTAAAGGAGTTACCATAGTCTATTATTATCTCTCAGGACCAAAGGCACCATGAAAATTATTCCCCATTAAGATCCAATAAGTAAATATTACATATTATGTAAGAATGGAATGTGAAACTATTTAAAAATGGAATATTATATTGTATTAGGTGACAAGAATGAATGAGGCAAGACCTGATATAGAGGACATAATGATAGAGAATAAGAGAACAAGTGTAACAGTATTATACATAGGCAAATACAGTGGGAATGTGCTTTTATTTCAAGACCAAAAGTTAAAGCTAAGCATCCATTAGAGAGGGGGCAGGCGGCAACGGTGTAGTGAACATTTGCATACTGCATCCATTATACAATGCAGCAAGCGGAAAGTTTTATCAGATTATTCTTTAAATCAAAGAATCCCACTTGTTGTATCCCACCCTGTCTTTTTACATGTTTGCATGCACGCGCACATACAGACACATACATAATCAACAGTTTTTATAAAATCATATCATTTTTAATCATTATTACCTTAGATTTTTTTTCAAAATCACTTATCCCTAAAACTTTGAATTCAACTCTATCATTAGTAGATTTTTTTCTTTTTATTCCCTTATTTTCCTCAGTTATTTCTTTGTCATTATTTTCTACAGAATCTTTTAGGTTTTCAGTTTCCAGTGGCTTGTAACATTCAAATTGCTTTTCTGTATCTTCATGTTTAAGTGTAATTGTATCTATAGCCTTTTGATTCCGATGTGTCTTCTTTCTCTCTTCAATTTTTTGTTTTAATTTTTGTAAATGTTTTGTTTCTCTATCAATTAAATCATCATCAACATTCTCTCCTATATACCTGTGTTAATGCAAGTGAATTATATTTAAATAATGACCATAAATTTAGTTTTCCTCAAATATATTAAATAATAACAAATGCTTAACAAAAATAATTTGATCCTCAAAGCATTCGTAATTTAATTTTTATCACAAATTAATAAGTCAGTATCATTTCTAAGAACAGCAATTAGTTGCAAGCTGTGTGAGCAGCGTAGCAATTGAGATAGTTACAACTAAGATTGAACAAAAAGAGGATGTGCAGCAGTTTTGTGGAATCATACAGAGCTGATAGCCACAACCGCAGTTTTGTTTTTCAAATTAAGATTGAAATTTATTTTTATTTATTGATTATAGATATACAATACAAACTGAAAAATTTCATTTAAGTTGGAGCAGCTCTATATTATATATGGTCTCAATGCGGTCAGTCATATTCATAATTTTATACGTGGTAGAAGCCAAGCTGCAGCTATATTTATAATATAGTTGTGCACAAATGGGTCGGCTCGACCGGGGAAGGGCCAGGCTCTCACAGAATACCAGCATAAAATGGCAGCTTAATGCTGCTGTGTTTCGTATGGTGAGTGTAAAAAATCGGAGACCCTTTTTACTGGAAAAGAGGCATTCCATCTTAGTCCTCAAGGCTGGCAACGCATCGGCATTTTAATTCGCAAACGAAGATGTATGTAGATGTCTATGGGCCACAGCAACCACTTACCATTGGGTGGAATGTGTGCTCGTTTGTCACCCTATTTCTATAAAAAAATAATAATAAAGATGAAGTGAGCCAATACACAATATCTATTCTGAAGTATTGTATTTCATCTTTGTGCTCAGGTGTGTCAACATTCTTAAGTCTTCTTAGCCTATAATTATCATGTACAATGGTTGGGCTGAACTGTACAAAACTTACAATAGATTTGTAGGTCCAAACTTTTATGATGGATAGATTTTGTGTATATTAGTCTAGTCCTTAGGTATAATATTGCAGAAATGTGTAGGTTTTGAGATATTAATTTTCAAAATTATTTTTATTATTAGCAGCAGCACGGCAGACATTTCCTTAACCTAAAACCCTCTCAGAAATGAGAGGAGGCTTGTGCCCAGCAGTGGGGCATAAATAGGCTGTAACTTTACTTTACTTTATTTTTATATTTTAAAATCCATTCATCAAATATAACACACGTGTGGCATTTTAATGTACTTTTACATTTTAACTGTAAACTTTTATCTACAAGCAATCCATAAATATTTTATGTAATTATGTTTTTACCATGTAGTGGCAGAGTAAGAATATCCACTACCCCATATCATCCCGAGGGTGTCTTAAGAGGAATCGGAAAACTGTAACAGATGGGTGGCATGTTTCTATTTACAACTAAAAATAATAAAAAAACTGCAGTTGCCAATTTGTCATCCTAATAGCCATGGCAAAATCGGGGGGATTTTTTGGCAATTTAGAGGTAACTCTCTCAACTCAACACTTTTAAAGGACTTTTATAGGATGAACAATAGAGGTTGAAGTAGATTTTGAGACTCTTAACCTCCAAAACATAAATATTAAAGGACCAATGAGTTTTAGAAACCAACATTAAAGACGGTGTTGTCCGTTTTCAATTCAAATTCGATGTCTGGTAAATATCAATCAGTGAATTATTAAACAGTCCCAAAAGTTAAAATGTAAAGTTACAGCTTTTAAGCATCCCTCTGCTGGGTACAGGCCTCTTTTCATATCTGAGGGTTATGGAGTGAGATAAGCCAGCCTCGCTGCTCCACTGTTTGTTGGCGGGGAGAAGAATAATTTGGATTTGGTGTTATAAGTACCTGTTAATTATAAACAAATCCATGTTATTCACATAACCTGAAATATGTGAGGTATTTTGATGAGCAAAGTTAGACATTCCTGTATATACTTATTATACTCTTTGGTTAGACAATAGAATAGATTTTTTTTTTGGAGTTTATGGCCTGGTATCGAGACCTTTAGGCCAAACCAAAATTAGACACAATATCCTAAGTCTATGGTTAGACAATAGAATAGATTTTTTTTGGAGCTTATGGCCTGGTATCTTGCTTTTTAGGCCAACAATAGAATAGACATTAGGTGTGACCATCTTTAAAATACAGATCTTGCCTTACTTTGGTTAAAAACTGCCAAATCTTGTAGTGAAAAATACTGCTGCCTAAATAAACTATATTTAGCATTGTATTTAAAACAAGAAAAGTAAAAATATACATTTAATGCTATATTTTTATTAAATTAGAAGAGAATCATATTTTATTCAATATTCATTATTGCATAATACTTATTGAAAGTCATTTTTTATTTACCACTGGTTCGGAAAACACCCCAGCCCTGGGAAGAACCAGCAAAAAACCCAGCGGGACTTTTTTTCTCAAACATATTTCACTTAACAATAATTTCGTTTATACAATTTTTAAATGATTTTTCATAGAACCAGTATGGGGGCGATCACCTTATTCCCAGGGATTATTTTCATTCATGTATTCCTTGATATTATAATAATCCTTTTTGTACAGTTTTTCTTTAATAAAACTTCTAAACTTGTTTATTGACAAATTGAATATGTTCTGGGATTTTGTTGCAAAAGCATATACATCGATCCATAAATGAATTACTGATTCTGTGGAGTCTAATAATTGGTATTACAAGATTATGTTTGTTCCTAGTGTTTAAAGTATGCACATACTTATTCTTATTAAAGTTATTTATGTTTTTATGTACATACATTACATTTTCATAAATGTATTGCGATGCCAAAGTTAATATTGTTGCGCGCCACTATTAATGTCTTGTACATGGCAACACTAGTTACACTAGCGCCCTCTAGTGTCGAGTAGCAGAACTAGGAGAGTCAAGATCCTTCCAGAAATTTCGGGACCGATATGTACTCGAACATTCTAGATGTCGCTACAGTAGAAGATTCTGGAAACTATCTGAGGCCCTATATAAGGCCGGTATAGACCACGACCGAGGCAGTATTGAATTGGCGATACAAGAGAATACTTCGAAGCGAAATAACTGCGAACTAAAGTGATTGTGTTTTATTATTAGTGTGGTTTTAGATTGTAATCAGTGTTGTGTAATTAAAGTGTCAATTTCGGTAATTCAATTGGCAGTTTTTAATTGTCTCGAACCCCAGGCTCGTAACAATTGGTGTCAGAAGTGGGATCAAATCATTCTAATTTTACCAAAGGACGACATGGAGGGTATGCGTACCCGAAGTCAACGCCAGCTGGAGGCGGACCAGAGACGATTTGGTAATGCAACGCCGCAAACGTCGGAGGGCCAGATGCTGACCATGGAGGCCGGCCCGTCAGCAGCTCCTGCATCTGAAGCATCTGACTTAGGTGCTCTGATGGTGATGTTGCAGGATCAGGCTCGCCGACACGAGGAACAGGCCCGCCGACAGGAGGAACAGGGCCGTCGGTTGGAAGAGCAGCTGCAGCGCGGACAGGAGGAACAGGCCCGTCGGTTGGAAGAGCAGCTGCAGCGCGGACAGGAGGAACAGGCCCGCCAACAGGAGGAACAGGGCCGTCGGTTGGAGGAGCAGCTTCTTCTCATGAAGGACCTTCACGCTACCTTCGGGAAAGAGAAAAGGGAGGTGAAGGATAGGGTTGCTCAACATGACAACCGCCTGTCGGAAGCTGAAACCCGAATCGACCAAGTGAACAATCGGGTTGACAACGTGATGGTTGACGTGAAGAAAACGCTGGACAACCTCAAAATTGGGGACGGAGTTACAGCTCCCGTGGTAGCTACAACACCTTCGCTACGTGGATTCAAAGTGCCGCCATTCGACGGCACTTCTTCCTGGTCGGCCTACAAAATCCAATTCGAAGCTGTCATGAAGGCGAACGGCTGGAATAAAAGTCAGGCCATGACTGCTCTCACCCTAGGTCTGCGTGACCAGGCCTTATCTGTTCTGGAAGCTCTCGGTAAGGAAGTGACTTACGAGCAGCTCCTTGAGGTATTGGAGGCGAGATATGGCGACGCTCACCTGGAACACGTCTTTCGTGCACAGCTCAAAGATCGCGTGCAACGCAGTAACGAAAACCTGCAGCAGTGGGCCCTTGAGGTGGAGAAACTGGTTCGAAAAGCATGCCAGTCTGTATCTGCGCTCTTTGTAGGGAACCTGGTGCAGACATTCATCGATGGCATCCGCGACCTTGAAGTCAGAGCTGCTGTGAGGCTCGGGCACCACGAGACGCTTAAGGACGCCTTGACCCATGCACTGGAGGTGGAAGCCGTGCGGCAGGATCATCGTTCCCACCGCGTCAGGGAGGTTGCAGCAGCTACAGTTCGGGACCGCAACAACGGCTACAGCCCTAGGTGCTACGGCTGTGGGGAAAGGGGCCATCTTCGATCCAGCTGCCCTAAACGAACTGTAGAAAGGGAAGGTGATCGATCTCGAGAGGGTAGGTGGCTAACAGCACCGCCCAGCAGCAGCAGGGAAACTGGCGGGTGCTGGCTGATGTTAAAAGAGCCCCAAGGATTTCGATCTCACAAACCCGTGATGGGAACAGCCTGATCATCAAGGGCGAGGTCAATGGAACACCGTGTAAACTGACCATAGACACTGAAGCCTCTCGCACGTTTGTCAGTTCACAACTTTCGGGACTCCGCGTACAACCGCGAACGCATTAATTTGGTGACAGCCACCGGTCAGCGCATAGCCGTTCGTGGAGAGAAGGAGATGGAGTTGAAGCTAGGCAACATGATCTACCTGCATATTGTCATCGTGGCTGATATAATGGACGACTGCATCCTGGGCCTAGACTTTATGAGGAAGAATTGTTATGAGATCGACGTTAAGCAAGGTATTTAGATATGTGGACAAGAGGAACTTTTACGTGGAAGGGGCGTTACCAGGGAATATGTACAGCCTTAAGAAGATTGTTCTTCCGCCGAGATCGGAAACGATTGTGCCGGTTAGTCTTCCTCGGAGTCCTGGGCAAGCTCATCGTTGTGTACTCGTGGAAAGGGTAGACAATGACCTTCCATGGAAAGTAGCTCGAACCTTGGTCAGAACCACCGACATCTCAGGAGTACGTGTGTTGAACCTTTGTGATCATGAACAGATTATAGAAAAAGGCACATTGGTTGGTACTAGCGAGGAAGTGGATTGGTTGCGTCGGTGCGAATATCTATCGACCCCCAACAAGGATGGACAAACGAGAGTGACCACACTTTTAGAAGACTGTCGCAGCGTTTTCTCCCCGAATGAAATGGTCAAGGCGAAGAAGTTGTTACTCAAGTACGCCAATGTTTTCTCGTCAAACGAAGCTGACATAGGAAAGGCTGACTTAGTTCAACACAAAATAAACACAGGAGAAGAATTGCTTATTCGTCAGCGGCCAAGGAGATTGCCTGTAGCACGTGAAAAGGAAGTGGAAACCATGATTGAGGGAATGATGAAGGATGGTGTTATTGACCCTTCATCTAGTCCATGGTTCACCATTTTCCATTCACCTGTGGTGCTGGCAAAGAAGAAGGACGGCAGCATGCAGTTTTGTGTTGACTACCGCCGCCTGAACGACGTTACGAAGAAGGACAGCTATCCCTTGCCAAAAATTGATGACACGCTGGACATGCTTACAGGCGTAAAGTGGTCTAGTACGCTGGACCTGAAAAGTGACTACTGTCAGCTTGAAATTGACCCTAAGGACAAGGAGAAAACTGCATTCTCCACAGGAAAGGGTCTGTGGCAATTTAAAGTCATGCCGTTTGGATTGTGCAATGCTCCAGCAACGTTTGAAAGGTTGACGGAGCTTGTACTTACCGGGCTAATTGGAGATGCCTGTCTGGTCTGTTTGGATGACATCATCATCGTAGGCCGTACGTTTGAGGAACACCTTCAAAACCTGGAACGCGTGCTCATGAAGATCCAGAGTGCCAACCTCAAGTTGAGTCCGAAGAAGTGCTCACTATTCAAACGGCAAGTTAGTTTTTTGGGGTATGTAGTGTCGGAAGAAGGTATCCGCACGGATCCAGAGAAAATTGCTGCTGTCAAGAAGTGGCCGGTTCCAAAAGATAAGACACAGGTTAGAGCATTTTTGGGTTTGTGCTCTTATTATCGGCGACTTGTGAAGAACTTTGCAGATGTAGCCAAACCTCTGCACAAGCTAACCGAGGAGAAGCGACATTTCTGCTGGGATGAAAGTTGCGATATTGCATTCCAGGAGCTCAAGAACCGTCTGTGCAAAGAACCTATTTTGGGGTATCCTGATGCGGGCAAGGAATTCATAGTTGACACAGACGCAAGTGATATAGGACTTGGCGGTGTGTTGTCTCAACGGAATGGTGATGAAGAGATTGTGATAGCGTACTTCAGCAAGTCGTTGTCAAAGCCGGAAAGAAACTATTGTGTCACAAGACGGGAATTGCTTGCTGTGGTAAAGTCCTTGCAGCATTTTAGCAAATATCTTCTAGGGCGGAAATTCCACTTACGAACTGACTATGCTGCACTGAAATAGCTATTGCAGTTCAAAAATCCGGAAGGACAAGTTACGAGATGGATTGAACTACTGCAGGAATACGACTTTGTGATCGAACATCGCAGCGGGAAAGGCAATGCAGATGCATTGTCAAGAAGACCTTGCCCTGAAGATTGCAAGCATTGTACTAGGCAAGAGGGTAAGGAAGTGGTATCTGTGAGGATGCTCAGGACAGACCAGCTCAGCAATGAGTGGAAGGACAGCCTACAACATGCACAGCAGGAAGATTCAGACATTAAGCCGATTCTGGAATGGATGAAGGCCAGTGCTCCTAAGTCCAAGTGGAGCGACGTCTCAGCAATGAGTTCGAGCACGAAAAGCTATTGGGCCCATTGGGACAGCTTGCTGATTCAAGATGGAGTCCTGTGCCGTAAATTG